TCTCTCTCTCTCTCTCTCTGTCTTCTTTTTCGAAACTCGGCTGTACATCTCGGCTCGGAGTAGCTCGGTCATCGTTCTCTTCTATTTTTCTCTTAGTAAATCTCGAAGAATAGCGACGCCCAAGGAATTTGTGCTTTCTTTTGTCGAGCGACTCATTAATCACCACAATGCCGTAACGTCGGGCCGCCGATCGATCGCCGCGACCAGATAGCCGCGTAATGAGCTCCGCTGCTCTTGTTAGTCCGGGGGGGGGGGGGCCGGTGCTTTGTAAAACGAAACTTATTACCACGGAATCGAATTAATTTCACAAGCAGCCTAGCCGCCGCTTCGACCAACAAACAAATCCGAAACAACAAACAACAAACGTAAGGTAACGCTATTTATTATCAACACCTCGCTCAAAAGTTTTGCACTTTTGCATATTTCTCTGTATTCTGCATTTTTTTTCTTTTTTTCATTCTCTGATGATTTTTCTATATATACTGTCTAGTAACACACACACACACACAATGTCAGGGAAGCGATGAAATTTCGTGGGCTTCTCTTTTTTCTAGAAAGCGGGAGGGAGCGAGCGAAAGAAAAAAAAAGAAGAGAAGAAAACTCGAGGGAGCGAGAGGAGGGAAGGAGGGGATCGCGGATAGGCCGACATTTTAAAAAGGTTTTAACGAGCGAACCTTCGTCAAGCGTCGATACGAAAGACGACGTAGAGTGGATCCGCGGCTAGGCGCACTCTCTACTCTGCTCGTCTTCTCTCTGGACGCCGCGACGCCACGCCACGTAAAGTAATTAAATGCAGAGAGAGAGAGAGAGAGAGAAGGGAGAGGAGAGAGGGAACGAGCGAAGCAGACACGAAGGGCTGCTCAGGATGGTGGGTTCTAAAGGCAAAGGAGGGAAGAAAGCAACGAGGGCGTTCCTCTAGCCATTCCCCGACTTCTCCGCGAGAAACCTGGAGGAACCTCACTGGCAATCTCGAACCAGCCGTGCCCGCTCGAACTCTTGCCT